ATAGCAACAACATAATCAATAAATCAACATAAATCATGCATTTATTAATACTAAAATAATTTACTTGTGGCCGATTTCACGGAAGCGAAATCACAATTTTCCAAAAATTCAATCTGTGTATTGGTAAACCCCACAAACAGTGGGTTAGTATCAACATCAAATTATTTTTTTTTAAGAAAAAGAGAGTTCTACAATCGTAATTATATGGTTTAGATGGGGTTTGCAGTGTGTTTAGAGGTTTGTGGTGTATTTGCAAGTATTTTTTCATAAATTTTAACCAAAAAATAGTTATGAATGTATTTAATTATCTTATTGATATACCACGTCAGTCAATCACAATTGAATTGTTTGATTTTCTACAGTGTGTTTTTGGGAGGTTTCTGGGATTTACTAATACCACTTAATCCTACCATAATCACCCTACCCTCACAATCACACGCCATTTTAATTCTTAGCATAATTGCCATACATAACTATATATAATTCTAAGCCAGTAGTAGGCACTTGGATTTAGTTAGTGATGAGTAAAAACCAAGTATGCAACTAAATTAGTTGCTTAAATAAATGTATTCCTAATGATTCAGTTTACTAAAAGCAATACGTCTTTGAATAAACTCTAAGCAGACAATTTATTGCTAAGTTTGCGAGAAAGTAAGACTCTCCCTTTTCCCATACATGAACTTGTGATTCAAACACACAATTGATCCACATGCTTTAACCAGGGAGGTGTAACCCTGCTTTAACTACTGTTTATTTGCATTGTTTATAACATGTAAAGTTAAGAAAGTATAATACATACTCCAAGTATTGAAATATATGCCATCGTGTTGGGATTCAATATTTCGACATTAATTATGTCATCATCAGGAATAATCCATTCCTGATGATGACATAATTAATGTCGAAATATTGAATCCCAACACGATGGCGTGTATTTCAATACTTGGAGTATGTATTATACTTTCTTATCTGAGATTAATCAGTGGACCTTTCGGTTTTTGGAAAACGCTCCGTACATGTAAAGTTAATTCATTTGATATTTAACAAAAGTAAAGTTTGTGGTTATCTATGAGTTGCATATTTTGGTAGTTGAAGTACTGTATACTGTATGTCATTCCTCTACTTTGTTAGTGAAATAACGTTTTTAAAAATTTTATTTCTACTATCAAAAAATGTTATTCAATGGCCATTGTTTTTCGATTATCTCTCAAAACATTATTTGCATGTGCTGTAATTGTTAAAAAACAAATGCTTTTAAAGAAATTTAAAAAAATCACATATTGATCTCAGTTCAAAGGGAAAAAAATTTATTTTTTTATTACATTTTATTGTACATTTTACTGAAATAACAAATAAACAAATTAAGGTTCCTGTAAAATAAGGTGTAACTGTAGTTTCTGATTACATAACTAAATAAACAAACCAAAACTTTAATATAAAGAAGGAACTCTGTATTTATTCCATAAAATAGATGATTATTCCCAAATAGACAAGAGATAAATAACACCTGGACTTTTAGACATGTTGTTTATATGGCATTTCAAAACAAAAGGCTTTTATTTATTGGCTACAGCATAGATTCTCAACCAATAAAAAATCTTTTTTAAAAAAAAATGACCAATTGAATTGTACTTAGTTGTCACTTACACAATCACAGTGTATTAGATTACAAAATTACATACATCCCAAACCACATCATGACCCCCCCCCCCATTTGACAGCTCGTCGGAATAAAAAAAATAAAAATGTGACATGCCTGTCACAGTCTTGAGAGTGTCATTTCTGGCCATCCAGAGGTTCCAATTCTTTAAAAAAAAAATAGATATTTAATACTTGGACTTGTTTTCAATATGAACATTTCGTGTTTTTTTTCCGTTTTAAAATGTTTGTGCTCGTTAGCAATTTAGATTTATTGTTGATGTTATCCATGACAGTAATAACGTACCGCGAAATGCTAGGCCTCTGAAAGTCCCCATAGTTGGTAGTCGCCACGTTATTGGAATTTTTTTTTCTAGTTTCACGAAAATTGTTTATAACATTCCCCGCAAGTACGTCGTTCAAAACTGGTGTCGAATCAATGTTTTAGAGCCGCCCAGAGCCATTAATAATAATAATAATATTAATAATTGACCGCAAATATAGTAATAATATCTAATAATATTAATAATTTAAAAAAATACTTAGACCTACTCCCAGAGCTACTCATAGGAGCTAAAAACTAATGTATTTTAGTTCTCAAATATGCATATTCTTTATGTTGATTTATTGATTAAATTTTTGCTACAGGGTATTTTACAGCATTTATTTATTTATTTATTATTAATTTTTTTTTCCCTTATTTTTATAATTGAGGGCCATTTTTTATTTCTTGATTCAATTCTTGCTTATACAGTATTTAAATATTTGAAGATTTAAAAAAAATATATCATTTCTATTACCGAATTTTTCATTGGGGCCATTTTCACCTACCTGTCATATGAGGCCATTTTTACCGGAGTCATTTTTACCTACCTGTCATATGGGGCCATTTTTACCGGGGCCATTTTTTCCGGGGCCATTTTTTCTGGGGCCATTTTTTCCGGGGCCATTCTTACCTACATTTGTCTGCCTTGCCCAAGCCAGCTGAAGTTAACAATTGGTGGAAACATGTGCACGCTGATAATCCTAAGGTATTTCTCACACTCTTCCGGGGTCTGAGTCGTTCATTTTTGTCGTAGGGAATTGATTCAGACAGGGTAGAAACGATCTGTACTTTATATGCATTGGTCACTCCAATGGATTACTACGGAAGCCCGTTAGTGCCATCAGCGAATTAAAATTTCAGATCCACGAACTGTCGGCCGCCAGATAATTAAGTGACGGCCGCCAGATAATTATCTGTCGGCTGCCAGATAATAAGTGGCGGCCGCCACATAATTATCTGGCGGCCGCCAATTAATTATCTGGCGGTTGCCAATTAATTATCTGGCGGCAGCCACTTAATTATCTGGCATCCGCCACATAATTATCTGGCGGCCGCCACTTAATTATCTGGCGGCCGCCACTTAATTATCTGGCGGCCGCCACTTATTATCTGTCGGTCGCCACTTAAATTATGATAATTATGTGGCGGCCGCCAGATAATTATGTGGCGGCCGCCGCTTATTTATGGGTACCCAGGTTGCAGTATAGCATTATCTCGATGTAGAACGGGCCACTAAAGCGCATGGTTGGTTCTAGCATTAAATACGGTAGCATTTATAAGCATCGTAGTAGGCCTAGCTAGTTATTTTAGCTACTAGCTTGTAATAGCTTATAATAGCAGTCATATAGCCATTTCACAAAATATATCTATATTTTTGCTGTAGCACATTATCTGTATTGTATGTTCTATTTTGCTGTTTGTCACTGTGATATTGTCTGTTATTTTATATGTTTATTTTTTATTTTATTCATTCTGGCAAAAACAATTAACAATATAAAACATTGCAAATACAAAAAAGAAAAAGAAATCAGAAATTCACAAACAAAGATTCATGAGGGGTACCTCAATCATCAGGTGCTAGGCTCTGAGTGAAGGAATAATGAAGTACATAGATTGTTTCACTATTCCTTCACTCAGAGCCTAGCACCTGATGATTGAGGTACCCCTCATGAAACAGCCTGTAGTGCAATAAAATGTTGAGTCTTTAACCCAGTGTTACATGTTTTATTTGTCTATCTGCTCTGCTATATACTGCATTGAGCACTCT